AACCCCAAACACTGAAAGGGGTGTTTTATAATCAGGGTGTAGCTGATGGGGAGGAGTGGGGGGAGGGGGAGAGGGAGAGAGAGAAATTGATTTAATTCCCTTCTTATAAGGCAACCCTAGCTACACTGAGATTAAATCCACCAGAATCTTGCGCAGTGATTTACAGAATATCCAGGACACTGCACATATAGATGAGTTTACATCAAACGTGAAATCCTACCCAAATTATTGGTCCACACTTTTGAGATTATATTCCAAGAAAATAACACAAGAGGAGAAAAGTAATTTGCAAACAGTACACTCATTGTAGCATAATAGCAAAAAGTGGTAAAACCCCAAACACTGAAAGGGGTGTTTTATAATCAGGGTGTAGCTGATTCTAGTTTATGACAAAGTGTTTTATAACTCTTAAGTGATAAGTGCGAAAAGTGTTTTTAATCCATGGAAGGAGGAATGGGTTTTCCTTTCCAAAGGTACGCAGGATGGGTAATGCCCCCAAATGGTCATGGTGCCTACAGGTCCAGGGCACATTCACTGGGGGCAGCAGGCATAGCTCGTGCTCAATAATTGTGCTCTTTCCCTTCCCACGTGCATCTACCCGAGTCTCAGTCACTGTACAGGCCCATCTCAGATAGCCCCTCCTGCACGGAGTCTTGGATCGTAAGCTCCTCGAGGACATGAGCTGTGTCTTATCCACCACTGACTTGTCCGTATATGGCACCAGGTCATAGCTAGTCCACATGGTGCCTTTGTGAAAATTAGAAAAAAAGACCCCTTCCTGTGGGTGGCAGCAACCCCAGGCTGGGGTCCAGGGCTTGGTGAGCGGCTGCAATGTGGATGCATTTCAGCCCCCACTCAGAGGGGCGCCCCCTGCAAGGTATGACTGCTTCACCATCCATGGTGACCCTGCCTAGCCTGTGCCTGGCACATACTAGGCACCTAATAAATATTTGTTGAATGAATGAATGGACTGAGATTAAGGAGAACTAAGGTTTTCTTATTGGTACTTCTTACAGACGTTCCAACTTTAGCCAAGATCTTTGACCATGTCTCAGTTTACCGATCTCACAAACGTGGTGAACAGACTATAGTCATTAAGACCTGGATCACCTCTGAAATGCTATGAAGCTGCCTGCTACATAAAGGTACTCAGAAGCTTGTTAAATGAAGGAACCATTCTCCATAACTGGGCAGAGCCTTGGCTAGGTACCTTGGCTAGGTGTGGTAGAATAATACATTGCTTTTTGTCCCTGGAGCTCCTAAAACCCTTTGGATTTCCTGAGTGACAGGAGTGCCTTTGTATTTATGATGAGCTCCTTCTCTGAGTTTATGCTAACAAGGTAACTTACTGGGGGGCCCCTAGAGAGCCTCAGGATGGGGCTGGTCACAGGACAGACCAGGTGATTAGAGGGATGGAATTTTCAGCCCCACTCACCAACCTCTAGGGAGAGGAGACGCTGGAGAAGGGGTTATAAAATCTCTTGATTCAGAGAGCTCCCAGGTCAGTGAACACAGCTAGCTCCTGGGGGAGGGACCTGTCCTGGGAGGGTGTGGAAGCTCCGTACCTCCCCCTCCCCCCAAATACCTTGTCCTGTGCGTCTCTTCCATTTGGCTGTTCCTGAGTTGTATCCTTTATGATGAACTGGTAAACATAAGTAAAGTGTTTTCCTGAGTTGTACAAGTCATTCTAGCGAATTACTGACTATGCGGAGGGGGTGTGGGAACCCCTGAATTTATAGCCAGTTGGTCAGAAGTATAAGAGGCTCCTGGGACTTAGGACTGGCACCTGCAGTCTAGTAGGACTGGCCCTTCACCTGTGGGGTCTGCACTCACTCTGATAGTGTCAAAACTGAACTGAATTGTTGAACACCCAGCAAGTGCTCTCCATGTGGAAAAATCTCCTACACACCTGATGCCCGAAGTGGGATCAGAAAACACCACTTGGCCTTCCCTGGTGGCACAGTGGTTAAGAATCCGCCTACCAATGCAAGGGACATGAGTTTGAGCCCTGGTCCGGGAAGATCACACACGCCGCAGAGCAACTCAGCCTGTGCGCTACAACTACTGAGCCTGCGCTTTAGAGCCCGCGAGCCACAACTACTGAGGCCCACATGCCTAGAGCCCGTGCTCCGCAACAAGAGAAGCCACCACAATGAGAAGGCTGCGCAGCACAACGAAGAGTAGCCCTCGCTCGCCGCAACTAGAGAAAGTCCATGCGCAGCAAGAGACCCGACGCAGCCAAAAATAAATAAAAATAAATTAATTTAAAAAAAGACACACCACTTATTTGGAGATGTCCTCAAAGTTTACTTGTAAGTCAATTGCCAGAAATTTCCTACTTAAAAACTATTATGGTCAGAGATTCCATCAGTGTGGGATGACACATCTCAAAATCTCTGAGATGGATTCTAACTACACGCCTGCTAGAAGATTCTGTGGTAGCTCCCCCAGAGAAGTCACAGATGGAAATGTATTGTAAATGTGAAGTGTGTCAGCGAACACACCAGGGGGTTACTTTTTGTGTTTAGTTCCCGGAAGCTCATCTAATCCAGATGGGAGCGGACTCAGAGGATGGACACCCAGCCTGACCCGCAAAGGCAAGGGAAGGAGGATGAGAAGGGAGGGGGACCTCCCTCCCCTTTCCCGGGAGCCAGGCCAACCCTAAGGGTGAGATCAAAGCAGGTGGAATCTGTCTTCTTTCGGCACCCTCCCTCACCCGCCTGGCTCCTCTGCCTGGGCCCCTCCTGCTGCCCGGAGCCCTGGCCTGCGGGAACCTCCCACTCCCCGGCCTTGTCCCTGATCCAAATCAAAAGCCCTGTTCCTTCAACGCAATTCAGTGATTCTCAAACTGCACCTAAGAAACACCTGGGGAAGGAAGCAATGCCTCAGCCTCACCCTCAAAGGTTTTGATTCTGGTGCCCTAGGGAAGGTCCCAGGAATTGATGTTCTAAAAAGCATTCCAGGTGATTCGAACACGCACCAGGGCTGGGAACCACCAGCAAAGCTGATTCTGGCCGGAGGCTGAAGGCCTTTGATCGAATTTCTTCACATCAAGGGTGCAGAAAGCTGATGGGTATTTACGAGCAGGTATCGGTAGAATTTAGGGCAGCATTTTAACGGTCGTGAAGAATTTTAAGCAGCGATTCTTGAATGTGGGGGACAGGCCAGCCCTGTTCTGGGATCTGTAGAAGTGCCCCTAAAGGATTCTGACTTTTCGCAGCTTCTCTTTTTTCTTCTATGTCAAATTTACAATCTTTAGAAATTCCATCTCCCCCTCAGAACCGCACCCCTGGCCCCTCCCCTCCAGTGACCCCGCCCCCCAGACTCAGCTGATAAGAGGTCCAAATAAGGCTGGGGGGTAACAAGACAGGACTGATCATCTCTCTACAGGATCACTGGGAAGTCTGGTTTGTAAGCTCAATACCCCTTTCCCTTCAAGGGAATACCCTGCAGGTCAAGACACTAGAATTTATGACTTTACGGTTAACAGACGATCCTGATATTCCCGTCTTTCCCTCTCACAAATGCAGCCTCTCCAGTGGTTCAGGAACTCGCTGCTAAAGTGTCCTCTGGGGCCGAATGCTGGGCTGAAGGGCCCAGGCCGTGGTGCTGCCTTCCCCTCCCCCCACGGCTTTTTCATTTGGCAGGTGAATTCTTGTTCTATTCTTAGCACTAATGCAGAAATCAAGTAAGGCTTCAACACAGAATCCCAGCGTGATCCCCGTGTGGTTCCTGCTGCACTCAGAAGCTTCGGGAAAGCACAGAGGGAGGGGCGCCGGTTACCACATCCCAGGCTCTGGGGATCTTCCTGTCATTGGCAAGGTGTCCTGCGGTTCAGCCAGAACTACACCATCGTATCAGACAACGAGAAGGAGTTTCAACATGAACCCTAGCATTTTCTAAGCCATCCAGATTCGTGTTCTAGATCACAGAGTATTTCACGGCAGGGTGTACAGTGGCAGGAAGCAAGTTACAGGGAGCACCTCAGTTACCCACCAAAGCTGAGCTGCTTCTGCTGGAGCTGTGCCTGTCCAGGGGTGGGGCGTGACATGGAGGGGTGCTTGTCACCCCACACAAGGCAGACAGAGAGATGTGCTGCCATCTGGGAGGAGCAGACTCAAGCCCGATTAGTTCCACCGTGAACTGTTAGGAAGCTGCCCGTATAACAGCGGAGACATGACATAGAAATCATAGCTCCCCGCAAGGCTACAAGAACCCACCACTGTGCTGGGGATGGTACTTCCTTTTGTCCAGGCAGGTGTGCTCTGGTTATTACCTGAGACATAACTGCTTTTGTTATACATTCACAGATAGCAGAAAAAGACACTTTTTACGTTCCTCATTGTCAATGCCCTACTTACCAACTTCATCCCTGATGTTTGCAAGTTCGATTGACAGCTCTTTTTCTTTCACAAGGGCACTTTCATTCTGAAAAAACAAAATGGATACCGAGAGTCCCCTCGTTTTAGGCTAAATAAGCACGTTCACATGTTCAATTGATGAATTATATTAAGCCAATACTTATAAGTTGAGCCCTTCAGGAGAGAATCTTCTCATTATACAAGCATATATAACACGTACAAAGCCAAGTCTGACTCACTCATCTGTATCACATTCAAATCGCAAAGCCTGCCGTGTAATATTAATAATATTAATAATACCCACGTATTATTTCTGCACTCTGTATACCTCAACCTACAGTAATTCTCTGCATGTCTATGTCCTACACATTAACCTGCTGTTATATATTATTATATATTTTTAATTATTGTCACTATTACGAGATTTTTGACCATGAAAATACCATATTTCTCTGAGGGACAGATGCTTCTTTTCCCGGCTGTCCCCTTAAACCTACCCTTTGGTCCATACATGCACTGTTACCTACCTAATGAATAATGGGCAGAAAACCTAACACGAAACATTTCTCTTTGTAATAAGACCAACACCAAAACTTAAGTTTCCAAGGTGTTTTGTTCCATTCTCTGCATCGGTAGAAGGAAGACGAAGAAAACTCACACTCAAAGTGTTACTTACTGTGAAGAACGCCATTTGTCACTAAGTGATTGCTTGTTGTTTTCAAATCAAATACATACTATGACATAAAATAGATGAGTTGAAGGCATGAGTCAGCACCAGTATTTACATTTGTTGTGATTTTTATTACTACTAAAAATAACTAGGAAAGATGTGGTACATAAATTCTCTTCAAGTGACAGATGCCAAAAGTACAGGCCCTCAAGGAAAGGCTCCTTCATCACGCAGAATGTACTCCCAAAGCAAACACTTCCAAAGAGGGGATTTCGGCCAAAATGGGTACCAAATATCTAGCACAGACATCCTCAGGGCCTCGTGAATGCTCTTTCTTTCCTAAACTTGCTTTGACTTCGATGTCAGCACCTCCGGACAACCTGTGCCGAATGGGAACAGACGGCTGTCACGATCTTGTCTCTGTGTCTGCTGCGCTTAGACCCCGGTGACACGTGTGCTACTTTGGCTTGACGGCAGGGTCTCAGGTTATCCAAAGGGCATTTGCTAAGCAATGTTAGAACGTCATGCCTAGGTAAAACTCTACTTGCATAATAAGCTGCGAGCTATTTTAGTCACAGGCATTAACAATGATGAAGTCATGCTTCTCTTAAGACTAATGCAGCAACCATACACTATGTGAGGGACAGTGGACCCCCATCCCACTCGTGAAGCTCCCTCCTCACCCCAGCCCATACCATCCTCGCCTTCCCTGAATTTGAAGGCTGGAAATCACCCCTGAAAGTGTACGTTCTCCTAATCACTACGTGACACTGCCTCGATGCCACGCCCACAGCACAGGGTTGTCCTGAGGGTTAAATAAATTAACGTACGTGAAGCAGTTAGAACGGGTGCCTGGCACTTACAAGCTCTACACAAGTGTTAGCTGTTACTACAACTCTGTTGTTTCCTTTGATTTTGTTTGCCACTGGATGACATCCTATAGACGACAGGTGCTTTTCCACGTTGAGTGCCTGAATGTGTTTAGAGTTGGCATATGTCTTGTTCTCTGCTTTTTTTTTTTTTCTTTTTAAAGCACCTTCCTGACTCTGTCTTGATTCTACTCTAAGTTCAAAGACTAGAGAACTCAGAACAGGCAAAAGTGTCTAGTCAGACTGATCACAGGCATAGGTGCTTGGTCTAACAGCAGCGTAACGCAGCCGGCTGACTTGTTGCTACAAACTAAGAAAACCTGGTATTCCTGAGAGGGTAAATTTCAGTATTTACTCTGAAACAATCTCAAACTAGTGAAAAAACTAACTTGTTTCTACTATCAAGAATAATTCTGGGGCTTCCCTGGTGGCACAGTGGTTGAGAATCTGCCTGCCAATGCAGGGGACACGGGTTCGAGCCCTGGTCTGGGAAGATCCCACATGCCACGGAGCAACTAGGCCCATGAGCCACAATTACTGAGCCTGCGCGTCTGGAGCCTGTGCTCCGCAACAAGAGAGGCCGTGATAGTGAGAGGCCCATGCACCGCGATGAAGAGGGGCCCCCACTCGCCCCAACTAGAGAAAGCCCTCGCACAGAAACGAAGACCCAACACAGCCATAAATAAATAAATAAATAAAATTAAAAATAAATAAATAAAAGAATAATTCTGAACGCTCCTATCCTCAATTTCCAAAGCACAGCCAGAGAATTGAAATATTGTCCTCATTGGTCCAGAAATAGCATCTCCAAGGATTCACTCTTGGGCCGCTGAGAGTTGCAAAGACTTAGACGAGGTTAGGCAGGGATCGACTAGAATGTAACAAAAAACAACAAACTGACTCTAATCTTTCACCCAAAGCCAACGTTTCCCTCAGAGCCTGCAGAAGCCCTGGGACGAAGCCCTGGGTGGATGTTACCCGTGCAGAGGGATCCTGCGTCACAACCCATCACACCCCGCTTTCCAGCCACAGAAGAACCAGGCATTTGGGGACGGAGTGGCTTGAAGGTCCAGCGAGGAGGACAGGCCTCAGCTGGAGATGGTAATGATGCTCATGAAGATCTTCAGACTTGAGTCACTTAGATCAAAAGCCACCGCTGGTATCTGTGGCCAGGCCTGCCCACCCATCTTTGCTTTAGGAGAAACGTTAAGTGAGAGAATGAAAGAGAAGACGCAAGAGAGGAAAGGGAAGAGGATGGGAAGGGAGAAGAGATGCAGGGGAAATAGGAGGGAAACCAGGGAGGTGAGAGACCCTGCACCTTCTCCCTTTTGAGAGGCAGAGAGGAAGACGATCCATGAAGACCCAGGCCCCCCTCACCCCCAACCTTCTGCAGGCACAGATGACAAAACCAACTGATCTCAGAGTCATCAAATAGACAAAGACAAGCAACAAACCTGGTGGCTAAAATGTCAAGGAAAACGAGCTTGGGTAAGGTCTGCTGATCACTACGTCAGTATTAACACCAACTTTGACCAAACACTTCCTAGATGCCAAGGCACAGCGCTGGGTAAGCCCTTTTGCTCACTTACTCCCCCAAATACTGTCAAGCAGGTCCTGGGTTTTATTTCCCATTCTGGAGGACGGGACTGGGGTTCTGTGGTTAGGTAACTGGCCAAGTAACCTGCACAACCAGCCAGGAAGTGGCCAAGCAGGAGTTTTCACCCAGGCTCCACACTCTTTATCAAACACTAACACGAGGAGATGCTCCCCTCTGTCCCGTGCTTACCTAGACCCAACACCGAGATCCCAATTGCACCCGTCCTCAGCTTGGATCCGAGCTCTCATTACCACGAAGCTTTCCCCGTCTAACTGGAGGAGAGGCAGCGCCACCCCCGATGACTGCTCCAATGTAAGTGTTGCCTGGCTGCATTCACACCCCACCCGCCCCAGGCCCTCGCTGTGTTTGTCCTTGGTGTGGATTTGTCAGTTGCACTTCATTTCCATTCTAGCCTCTGTGTGGCGGTAACATCGGATAGGGCAGCTACTTCGCTTTCCCTCAGTCAGCTTTCTCAAGCCCTTCCCGATGGCCTCCCAACGTGCTCCTCCTGCAGGCGCTGGCACGGCTCTGCTCACGGAGGCCAGCCAGAGCAGTCTGGCTGCAGCCCTCCTTCCTTAAGTGCTTGATTTTGAAATGATATCAACTCTTCTAATCTGTGAATTCTCTGCATCAATTACGTTACGTTTTGTTTCCTGCAAACCAAACCAGAATGATGCGATGCAACGGAATGAGTCAACAACTGAGACTTCAGGGACACTGCTCCTTAGGCAAGAAAGGGACCTAAAGGGAATTTCCACTCTCCACTCCCTGCCTCAGAGAGTCATCTTTCCAGCCACTGTGGCTCAACGGAGCCCAGCAGCCTTCCTGCCGGGCCCTGAGGTTCTGCTCAACGTCTGGAGTGAGGCTGCCCCAAAGGCTCCCTTCCGAGGGCTCTCATGCACCACCACCCCCTCCCCCACCCTAAGCCAGGTCCGGAATCATGATGCAGTGGGAGGGCTGAAATACAAGCAGGGCCTCCTCGAGGCCTCAGTGTCAGATCAGTGCTTCCCTACATGGGGAATGAGTGGAAAATTCCTCGCTGGTGCCAAGCACATGAGCCCCTGCGTTCAGGCCGCTGGGCTAAAAATAGAACTCAGCATTAGGCATCCCAACTACCCTAGTGATACAGTCCAGAAACTGTCAAGTCGAAGAAGCCCGTTTCTCTAAAATTACTGTTTACTCTAGGATGGGCTTAACTAGAAACGGACACTTGGAGAACATTCATCTCGGCCCCTCACCAGCAGCTGTGTTTCTTGGCCGCCTCTTTTATGTTGTCACGCACCTCTCCTTTGCAGTCCGAGTCCTCTAGTGTCTCTGGCGTGGTCCGCTGCACTCACAGACGGAATCCCAGATGTGCTCTCCCCACGGAACATCCGAGTCTCCCCTCCACCTCTTGTCCTACCAGGTCTGCTACAGCGAAGCCCACATTTCTTCTTAGACATGGCGCTGCAAGCTCTGGAGGAACGCTGCCTTTGATCTTTCCTAGCTACAGAAGCCTGGCAAAGAGTACAAACCTGCAACTTCAAGCAAGTGGATGTGTGGCCAAGCCCCAAGCAAGCCTGCCACACTCTGTCATCCGAGCATGCCTGGTCCACGGGGGGCTGTCTGCTCTGGGGGCTGGTGCTGCCTGTGTGATCGGTGGGGGCGGGAAGTGAAAACGCCCATCTGCGGTATCATCATCCACGTGACCCTACTTAGGCAACAGCCACCTAAGCCCCTCCCCCAATTAGAAGTCGGCAGGACAGCCTGGTTTTGATGAAAATTGAACGGATCTGTTTTGAATGATAATCAACACATAAAACGCTGCGTGAATCTGGGGTGCTTTCACCCTAAATGATCCAGAAACAGGAATGTACCCAACACTACACATATTTACTTAGTGTCTACTATGTGGCAGGCAGACAGGCCAGGCAGGATACTTCTGCCTTCAA